GTTCCGTCACAGTTGACTTAAGGTTCCTGCTGTAGTTGATGAGGATGGAGAATGGGGTCTGGAAACGGTAGAATCAGTGAGTCGTAGATCCTCTTTGTGTTTGCCCTTTCACCTATGTTGTTTGGCAATATAAGCAACTTTTGATTTATTGGCTTCCGACCTGCCCTGGCATGAAAGTTGGTTCCTTAAATTGACTGTTCGTCACTTTCTTGGTCATTGAAAACCCTAACTATTTACAGGCGTCTGGAACAAACCACCCAAGCGGGAACGCCCCCAAAATCAAGAGACCACGAACTGTATCTACTGAAACATCCGCTTTTCAAAGGTTACTCCATGCCTTTTACAACAGGCCATACAGTTTTAAAGGTTACGACGAGTTCAAAGATACGTACCGCTTAGCAGACTTTTATTGTGCTCTTCCGGCGTTTTCATATTCTCTGGATTCGACATTTCATAGCAGTCCTTACTTCGGGTACGAAATCTCCGAAAACGCGTGTGAACTGCTCCGAATTGCCAAAACGCTTCATCATTCAGTGCTTTTCCGAGAGTGCTTAGTCTACGCAGTTGCGGATGGACTAGCTGCGGAATACAATGCTGATGGCTATGATGAAACTTCGAGATTTGACGACGATAGAGAATTAAAGCTTGCCGTTATGATAGGTCTTAACAGCGTTCGTTCATTGCAAAATGATGCTGACCACAGGATTTTGAGGGAGATCATATCCTTTGGATATATCCGGGATTTTGTGATGGAGGATTGCTCAACTACCAGAGACAACTCCAAATTGGGACGCTTTAAAAGTGAGCAGAATTCAGCCAAGACTGCTTACTTTTATAGAGAATTGTTAGACAAGCTTGAACGCGAAGGAAAAATAGACGGGAGTTTGGTACGCCTAGGAACTCTGTTAGAGAACAATTTAGTCCTATTTGGTAGTGATTACCGTGTCGGAGAGGGTGACAATGCTTATTTCAACGAGGAAAGCTTCTATTGCGCTCGGATTCGGGATGAAGATCTTCCTTGGGATCGGAGCAGCGTAGACTGGTAAAGGCAGGAGGGGTATCAAACCTTTCTCAGTATTACCTCAGTGGAATGCAATAATCTGTATTTTCAAGAATGTATTCTCCCGGGTGGAGCGATGAGGGATGGGGGATGGGGGATGACAAGTGGCACTTGAAGATACTAGGTAGTTGCGATGGAACCGTTATTGCTTGTGGGTGTCTAAGGTGGCTTGAGGAGGTACGGTCAATTTTGAACAATGGAAAGGAATGGCTCTCACAGTATGATAGAAGAATTCTTAAGGCCGCTATCGTTATCACTGTCGTTGATATTATTGTTCATGTTACCGTAAATGTTACTGTAAATGTTGTCGTTGATGTTGAACTTGAACCCCACGATTCTTAAAATAGAAACACTAAGTTGGCTCCACTTTCCATTCAATTCTGATTGAGCAAACTTCAAATCTCGAACAATCGATAACATTTGACCCCCTTTTTCCATTCCATTTTTTATATACTTCTTCTTTCTCTGCTTGGCTCACATCCACACTATGCCAGAACTCAAGAATGTCACATCTGTCACATCTGCCACATTCTCGCAGATGTCGAACTTTATTATATACTCTCATTTCCATAGCTATCTTTACTTTTCTTATTAGATCTCGATTTCCTACATCCTCTACGAATACTCCGATCAATAAACACCTCAGTACACCAATCTACGAACACGTCTCTCCATACCGACATAATGCGAACCATACACAAGAAGAGCTGCTGGAAAAGCAGTTGATCCGTATAGAAGAGAGTATCAAATCATCAATTTTGGAACAAGGGAAAGATACAAGAGCAGGAAAAATCATATGGCAATTGACTTCATCTGCGGAAGCCCCCATGTGGCAAGATTGGACTCAACAATGGCGGACCAAAAATCCTAATTGGGAAGTTAAACAATATACTTCATCGCCAGGCCCGGATATTCTACCATACTTTCGATCCATTCCCTCCATCGTACAAACGCTCTCCGAACATCCCGAACTCGAAACAGATATCTTCCGCTGGTTGTTACTCTGGTATCATGGTGGATTCTTCCTTGAGTCAGATATATGGCCTCGGCTTGCTATACAAGAATGCTTCGATATCGATTCCATCCAACATCCCTCCCTATCTCGTCCTCGAAAATATCCAAACTCGACGAGTAGATATGTTGAACAGAGAGAGAGGTCCAGCCCAATAAGTCTCGTCCTAGGAATCGATATCGATGAACCATATATGACACCTCACGTCCGGGAGAACTGGGGTTGGTCTCGCACTTTTAGTTTCGCAACATATGCAATGTGGGCACCAGGACGCTTCGATCCGTTACTCAGAAAGGCAATTGTGAGATGTGTGCAACATTCTTCAATGGTAGGACTTTTTGGAGACGAAGTGGATGCGAAAGAGTCTGGAGAAGTGTGTGGAGGGGCAATGTTGACGGATATCGTCTTGGAGATGTTGACAGAGAATCTGAAAGATATACATCCAGTACGAGATATGGATGCGGGACTTGAAAGGAGAGTAACTTGGAAAAAGTTTCGGTCTATAAGACGTCCGTATTGGTTCTCCAGCAAGGATTTCAAAGATGAGGTGGATGTAAATTTGCGGGGCTTGGGTATATTACCCATCAATGTTTGGGGAAGTGGACAGAGACATAGCGGATCGGGGAAATTTGATCATGAAGATGCTTGTGCAAATCATGTATATGGAAAGAAATCTTCGGTGTCGTTCTGGCAAAAGGTGTTTGGATAGCTTATTGGTAGGAGTTTTGTATACATATTTGTACTGTTTGAGCATTGCATGGATAGGAGTTCCGGTTTGAATTTTGCATACAATCTTTCATTGTCTCGAAGAAAACTAAATAAGGGGTGCCACGGAGGTGATCCGGGTAATATCAGGTCTTAGATGCCTGGATAACGGTGATGAGATACAGAAACGCAGAGAGAGATATCCACCATGATGCACGAAGTCCTCCTATCGGAAGGTCCATAACCATAGTTCAGCCGCAAATTACAAAATAAGAGAAAAGGAGAAAGCGTAGGCAACTCCAAATATCGCAATAATCAAATCTTCCCTCCTCGAAGAAAGATGAGGTCACCTGTGATGGATCCAATGATCATGAGCAAATCAATGATCCAATTCGAAAGCAAGCAATCCAACGATGTCGAAGCAACGGTCAGAGTCAGCAAAGCAAGCTCTAGAATGGAAAGTCTTTGTGTCAGCCATAATCTACAAAGATTAAGATCATCCCACCTTCGAGAATCCTACGAACTTATGCATGGTATCCATCCGCAGCTTGCAAGTTCAGTCCTCCCTCCAACTCACAAGGATCCTTGGAGTAAGTGACCTGCAACCCCTCATAAATCGAGCTCGTTCCATTCCCAGCCCCATCTCGAAGTCGATCCAGACGTGCCTTCATCTTGATAGCTGCAGAAACCTCGGCGAAGACAACCGTGGCATTCCCACCATTATATACGAAAACTAATTGTACATTCTCCTTCCCTACCTCCTTCTCACACAGCGTTTGTAGATTTCTACCCGTGAACGCGAAGAAGAATGCCTTTTTGACGATAGTCAATCGCCGGCTTGCGTAGGTCGGTGCACCCATGGCGATAATATCGTCGTTGATGGGGAAGGGATCACCGCGTACGCAATCTGCGATAAACCGGAATCGATTCGGCATATTGTCTACTCGCTCCTGACGCAACGTATCGTAGAATAACTGTGCATCCTGCGCATGTTGGAACACGATGCCGGAAAATCGCCTGCCGCTATCGGCATCGACGCCAAAGCGAATGCAGACGACGGGGCCTTCGCGCACGGCATTGCTGATGTCGGATAGGGTCATGGTGGTGGGGATATTGAGGATGAGAACGACGCGTGCTTGGTGCGAGAGAGATTCGTGGATGACGGGTTTGATGGCCGGAATGGAGGGGATGCGTCCGATGCTGTTGAGGCGTCGACCCGATCGAGGTGTGTCGGGATGCAGATCGACGTTGCGACCGTTGGGAGATGCACTGCTGACGATTGCGGCCCAGGTGCTGGCTTGGGTTTGGAATACTGGCTGAGTGGGTGTGGGGGAAGCGCCTTCTTCGGTCTCGGCAATCGATTCGAATTTACTCTGAGTAGGGAATGGCGATTGTGGAGGTAGTAAAAGAGAACCACGTCGAGAGGTGATGTTGTTGGCGCCAGTAAGGTTGAGTGGTGCAGGTCGATGTTTACGGGTAGTGGGTTGAATCTCAACTTCATCTTCAAAGTCCACTTCTCGTACCTTGACGATAGGTAATTTGATCAAGGGAGGAGATGGGTGACGATGCGTAGTTGATGGTTTATCGAGAGTTCCACTGCCAAATATATATGGTTTACTGAGTGCGATTCTCTCATCTTTGACTTTGACATCGAGATCGCCAATCTCAGGTTCATCTTCATCTTCAACTTGAAGCGCTGGTGCTGGCGCATTCATATCCAAACGTCGAAGGTAAACCAAAGAGCTAGATGGTAACGCATCAGCTGTATAGATAACGTGGTGCTCCAGTACAAATCCGTGAACCGTATCCCTCGCCTTGCGACATTCCTCCGCAGTACTCATAATGACAAAGCGGAAAGTACTCTGGGATGTAAGATCGAATATGATCGGACACTTCTCGACAGTTCCGTAGATCTGGAAGATGCGCCGGAAAGCCGGTGTCTGCCATTCGGCGGGTATACCACCAATGTAGAGAGCGCGTCGCTCGAGTTGCTCTCGTGTGTATGGTGAGGGGATCCCTGGGACGTGCTGATCGGGTCGGATGTTGGCGTAGGTTATGTATACATCGCGGTCTTCGGGGGAGTAAATACCGGTAGCAAGGGAAAAGGGAATTAAATTGAGAGGATTGGGGTTGCGAACGGCGAGTGGATTGGTAAGTAATTCGTGGGTGGCCATTGCTTGGGCTTGTGCTGGGGTTTGTTGTTGTTGGCGTTGTTGTTGTGTTTTGTAGGGGGGAGGTGGAGGAAGAGGCAGGAAAGGATCGCTTTTATAAAATCCCGATCTTCGTACAGCCTCGCTATGTCGTAGCCGGGCGGCCTCGGATCTCTTTTGTTTTCAATGAGATTGTATCAGCTGAGTTGGAATATGGAATATGAAAAGAAAGTGAGGGTTGGGACGAGAATCTCTTACCACAACAACGAAAACAGGATATTTTCCCCTGCAGCCCCAGAAGGGACTTTGGACAACTGTTGATTGTTAGTATTGGATCGGGATATCGAGATGCTCTTCTCTGATCTTTCTGGAATAGAGGAACTTACATGGGATCTCGGTCGGGGTGGTTGATGGGGTTTCCTGTTGGAGTGAATGTTAGTCTCATGTTATATTGCCCTGTAAAGTTATTGTATTGTACGTGATAAATAGGTAAGCTCTGGTTTCATGCAATTGGTATGCTAATTCATCTTGAGTATAGGAAATGGGCGAGTTTTCCACATCTGGTTGTTCAAGATTCAAGATTGCATGTTGATTGAAGCTACCAAGCCTCTTCTTATTCTCCAAATTCGATGATCTCGTACTTAAAGTACAAGTAAATAATAATGGGATGATGAGAAAAGAGATCTGAACAACGTACCATTGTGTTAGAGTAGAGAGACTAGTGCTAATTGCTTGGTACAGTAATGAGGGTAGAAATTGAAGTATCAAAGGTAGGGTGCAATGGATGGAAGTTGGAAGGTTGAGAGGAAAGTGAGAAGAAGAGAAAAGAACAGATCAGATCAGATCTAAGAGATGGGAATTGGAAAATGAGAAATGGGAACCAGGATGGTTAAAGAGGGGTTGATTAGTCGTTGACTATTAGTCTGCCAGAATCATTCGATTAGTCGTTGACTGCCTGCCTTGAATTCTAGTCTGCCACAATCACTCGATTAGTCGTTGGCTGCCTCGAATCTCAGACAGTAATGTTGAGAGTGGTAAGATTGGGGTTATCTTATGTTATGAATCTCTGTGTAGATATCAGTAACTAAGTAAGTGTATTTCCTAGAACTGGTGGGTATTAGATTAGTTAGATTAGACGGCTCTTGTTGAAGGTAAAGCTTTGGATGAAAGGAAATGAAATTATCTATGAAGAGGTGATGAAGGGGGTGTGTCCTGTCTTGTCTGTTGTGTACATATCGAGATTCTTCTAGAAGGTTGGGATGACTTTGATTATTTCTACAAGTACTGAGACAATTGTGTTGTGAAAGGCCTTTCTTTCTTTCTTTCTTTCTTTCTTTGAAGAAAGGAGCTGAGATATGTATCTTGAACTGTATCTAGTATCTAGTGGGATACAACCTGTAGTTAGGCTAGAAGAGAAGACTTATTCTAAGAAGTCTTTTAGGTCTTCTGTCTATCTTTGCAGGTAGGTTCTATCTATGTCTATCTACTCAAGACTTTCTATTCGAGATTCAATATCTGGATCTGGAGTGAGAATTTTCGGGAATATCGACTGAAGCCTCGAAAGAGGACCAATATTCCAGAGAGAAAACATTTACTTTGTTGAGTAATGGTGTCTTTATCTTTCAAAGATTAATATAATACTGTTTTCATACAATAAATCAAGTCAACATACTCATCACTCTGGAAGACATTCGAGGATCTGACCTTTGTACTTTGTATACCGTGTTTACCTACTTGAGTATATGGCTAAAGAAGATTCTAGCTGGCTCTGGGCAATATATTTGATGAAGAATCAAAGAAAAATCGGGTTTAATCATTAGAAATAGTCTATATATATTGTATTCTGGTGATTTATGGAGTTTAAAGGGTAGTTGAGTAGGGTAAGATTGTGAATATGAAGTAACAAAAGTCACGTTGTAGTTCTCTATTCAGTGGTGGGTTTACTCGAGTAACATTTAGATCATTTAGCCCTAGCCGCCATCATCATTATCATCGAGTCTTGAATATTGCACTGGTTTAATTAATACCTTACTATTCAATAATCCAATTTTACATCTTATTCCTAGCCAGGAAACTCCGTATCTGGATCTGGTGTCCCACAAAAATCATGGTTCTAGTGATTGTGGTTGTGGTTGTTTGAAATACTGTATAATGAACGAAATGATCAATACATGGTTTACTTATATTGTTATCACCTAGTCTAGTCCCCCAAATATCCTCAAGTAAGTGGGTGTTATATTGCGATGAAGTTTTTCCTGAATTCTAGGTGTTTAGACGTCACCATGGCCCATGGGTCTGTTGGCTGTACTCCAATGGCAATAAGAGCAGTTATTTATCGATATATGTTGGTTAGAGAAGTTATGCGCTAGGCAGTAGGTAGAAGGTATTTGAGTCTTGAACTTGGATATCTTTGATACATTCATCTATTGGTAAGTTACGGTATAGTCTTTTTTTTTATACTCTGATCTGATGGCTTTTGCTAGGTCGTACCTCTAAATCTGGTTTTGTCTAGGGAAAGAAAATTGATAATCTCTGGGTGATTCAACGGGCAAGGATGTGTATATGACATGCTCTCATGCTCAGGATTTCTTTTCTCCTCGCTTTTTATCTCAGCACCTAAGTTCGGTAACAGTAGCATATCGAAGTTTTACAGCCTGATAAGTATGATCAACACATCTGACGCACTAATATGTGCGTGTATCTTTTTCATAAATCATAAATACGAGGAGCAGTTTTAGATACTTGGCTATGACCTGAGCCCGGTGCCATGACTCGTGACATTGTGATATCTTTTAGAGAATGAACTTCGAAATATAGTTTCATTTTGACTTTCTTTGCTCTATTACCGTTGCGGAAGACTATAAATTTTCGGATGGAAGGAAGGAAGAGGGGAAACGAGGAAATGTCATACAAGGCTCTTCAACTTAAGAGAGATCAGAAACTGTCCTAGAATAGGAACGTATGTTTTTACAGATGTAGGATAGTCAATATGACTAGAATATCCCTCATATGCAGACCTCATACTAGATCATACGTCAGTTCCCCCATCACCTAATATAACAATTTCAGTATGGAAGTTGAGTAAATCAAGTAAAGTCACCAGGTATCATTCAGTGTGCTCAATATTCGACTCTAGTATGTACACCGAGAGTGATATCATTGTGACCTGGTTACCTGGTTGTCTAAAGCTTTTCCATCAGCCCAGTAATAACAAACGTGCAGCTTCAAAAGATTTTCCCGACTCCTCGGCATTCAGGTCTATGGCAAACATTATGGCTAGTAGTGTATTAGTTGAAAGCTGCTGGTCTCAATTCTTTAAGCTTTATACAGCTTTGAGTAATTAGCATTGTAGCTAGAAACATTGGATCTTTGAGCTGAGTTGCTATATCTTGCTTGAAATAACTAAATACTTGTCTCCAAGTTTTGTCCTTTCAAATTCCATATTGTTATATACCATCGTGGGACAATAAAAACATATAACACTAGCAACCACTTTGAAAGCCTAGGTTTCTCTACAATATCACCGGCAAAGATACAACTTACGAGGTTCAAAAATGGAAGCTTCAAGAAAAATATCAAATACTATTCTCTTTCTGTATTCATCCTAACTTCCAAATTGTTACATCTCATTTTCTACTACTGGTATTCAGATCCTGACACATAATTTCCTCGGAGATTTTCCTCCGTAAAATCAAATTGAATACCATCCCGCCATCACTTCATCACGAAATCTCGTCCCGAGGTCGCAACTAAAAATTTAATTAGCTGCAATTCACCACGGTAATTCTTTGAGCATTTATTTCAGGATTTCTTCTATCGCATTTTTCCATCTTCTTTCCACGGCAAAATACTTCACAATTAAGGTTTACACACAACGAGAACTACAATCTCCATGTTTTTCACGAACTTCAATGGCCCATTTAGCATAATGCTAATGAATGTCACTCTTAATATACATGTACTTGTATCAAAATTAGTTGTGGCTGAACAAGAGGATACATTGGAGAGTTCTCAGACTGTAAGTACTATGTCAAACTCAGATTGACTTGAAAAATTGGCTAATGGCCCTTAAAGCAAACTGCGACTGGCAATGAGGATGTTCGAGATATCAAGACTACGAATCGAAAGCATGTTCCTCATAATCTAGCGCGGGATATTAATATACTTATACTTGATAGGGGAGATAGACAGGCTCAGGCAGAAGAGTCTAAGTAGCAGCTCGCTAGTCCATCTACACCGGCAGACCGTATTCCTGGCATATGTACCTTCACCTAGGAACTCTTCCCTAATACGCTAAGCTAATCCCTCTCCACAGAATGATGACTAGCTCAAACATCCCGCTGCCCAACCCAAATCATACATTTAAACTCTCCTGTCAATATGCTAAAAGCTATTGGCCTCAACTAGGCCCGGTGTTTAGTTTTGGTCACGGCCTTTTTGGTTGAAACTCTTTGGAACTTCGGAGTATAGATTCGCATACAGTCGGGAGGAGCTCGAACTTCGAAGTTGATGTACATACAAGATTTCAATCAGCAAGACTAAGGTAACATGCTTAGAACTATTGATGCACCTGTCTAATTTGTTTTCTTCGACGTTCATTATGATGTCTTTCGGCAATCCAGTGATATGTACCCAATCCTGTAACTCCGAAAAGATCTCGCCCATTGTTAATGCTGTACCCATTTTGATGCAATCCCAACATCATTCTGACAAGTGCCAATGATTTATGGTTGAACATTACTCGAGTTAATGATACTAATTCTCAGCCTTAAAGAGGCTGAGATGCGGGGTCGCCGTTTGACTCACACATGACTATCATATCAAACCTCACATTGTGAATAAAACATCAAGAAATCATTCCATTACTGTTAGGACATCAAAACTTCATCTGGAATACAATTCTATTCAACTCGACGTTCATTCTATTTTGCTCTCTTGTTACATTTACACAAAGGCAGTCCGTAAAATGAGCCACAACGGACCAATATTCTTCTGGCACCCAGAAGGTGGCGATTATCCATTTCTATCTCAACATTACCCCTGTGAATTCCCAGATGGAAATGGTCAGATTTTCACAAGTACTGAACAGTTTGTTTCTTCACCCTTTGCCCAAGTTCTTCATACTCAGAAATCCATCTAGATATATGATGTATCACAAAGCCATTCATTTCGACGACATTCCCACCTCCCTCCAAATCCTCGAATGTACCAACCCTAGAACAATCAAAGCCCTCGGTCGCTCTGTCAAAAGATTTGATGATGAAGAATGGGATAAAGTCAAGTTCGAGATAGTGGTGCAAGGAAATGTGTTAAAATTCTCAAAGGGAGGAAAAAAATTGAGAAATCAGTTGGAGGAGACTGGTCAGAGGGAACTGGTAGAGGCAAGTCCATTTGATAAAATTTGGGGGATTGGGATCAAAGGTGGGCCTAAGGAGTGTCGGAGGCAGGAGAGGGATGGGACATTGGAGGAGAGGAGGAAGGAGTGGGGAATGAATCTATTGGGGAAGGCGATTGTGAAGGCCAGGAGGAGAATTAGGGAAGCTGAAGTGAAGGGCGGAAATAACGGCGGAAATGAGGGTAGAAATTAAGATAAAGGATGTGGGGAAAAAGGGAAATTAGGCGAAGAGAATTTCGGAGAGTGAAAGGAGAAGTACGCAAATCTGGAGTGAATAGGATGTTCGAAAGGAACGTGGCTAACAGGACGAAAGTTCATGAAGTCGAGAGAAACAGGTGAATATTTTGAAATAGCAATGGAGGATGAATATGTTATCGCCTGATCTTAAGAATATAGCCTATCTTTTGTTTTGAAAGTCCCTAGAGGTTTAATACTACAAAGCTTCATGGAAGTCCATGGAATGTGAGGCTTCAAGGTGACTTGACTAGTATACTGTAAGTTATCATTCAAAGAACTTACGAATGTTGTCATTCCGGTATACATCTGCCAGTATCATTCATTACTTTGGAATTCATTTTGATTCCTTACGAAATTGATATCCCGCGGAAAGATATTCTCAAACAGCTACTCGGTACAAACTTTTCTCCACGTAAATTTTGAAATTTCCGAGTTACTTTTCACGAGCGGGGAAAGTAGATAGTAATATTTTTTTTTCATTAGAGAAGAAAAACCATTCACCTCGATATCTTCCTCAAATCTGTAATTAAACGTGGCGCAGCCGAGGCTGATTTAAAAAAGATTTGGCTTTTCCTAGGTACTCATCTTACTCTTTGAGTGATTGTGACTTTGCCCAGGTGATTATAGAGTCAATCCGCCACAGAATGTATGGCTTTGACCATGAAATTAGCTATCTTGGCTGCGGATTCGGAATTTGAACTTAGAAACAAATAGCTTCTATGGAAAGCACATAAGGAAGTGTCTTCTAGTAACTTGAGATTCAACTTTCTTACACAAAATATTACTACAACAAGTTCGAACTCAAGTTGCAAATTTGAACTTCAATTACATGATTCTCTCTTGATATTGCGAATTTGCTTTACTAAGTTTCTCTTGATATACCTATCTGTCCAAATACATAATCAATTGTTTCTCAGATCGATAGTTTGGTAGAGAAATACATGCAGAATGGAATCATACCAATCCAAAATCGAGATATTGTTCACAGCAGTCTTTCCAACAGGCCCAAAAGCTTTCAAAGAAGTAAGAACGTCTTTTTCTTCTATCTGATCTTCACTACTCACACTCACACCTCATCCTATATACAACACACGCTAATTCACCCCGCAACTCAGACCCAATCTACTGGAATGTCAGATTTATCCGTCTCTGATGGAAATCGCCGAACAATTTCAGAACGCAAGTTGAACACGTCGAAAGAAAATGAATATGTTCTTTCAGCGGAATATCTACAAGAAGAAGCTTATCATGGTTCATCTATAAGCCATAAATTTGCGCAATTTCTTCTCTGGGTGAGTAGTCTCTTCTTTCTCACATCACCCTCATCATTCACATCACGTTCTCTTTACTCAATCTCATGCCAACACAAAATCTAGTCCTTCGTCTCAGTTTTGGTCACTCCAATACTATTCACACTCTCTCATTTTCACTCCTCCGACTACTTCTGGGTTGCAGCCACTTGCGTTATCTTCGCCATCGTGATACTGATTTCATGCTTCCATCACGATGAGCAACAGCTCGAGGAAGCCTATACCACTGCATGGGAAAGTAAAACCATAAGCGTTCAGAAGATCATCCAAGACCGAATATATGCCAAGGATAGAAACACGTATGTTCCCTCCTCGCTCCCAATTATAATTTACAAGGAAATAAACTCACACATCCCCAACCCTCAGAAAATTTCGCACCTCTCACCTCGCTAAAGTCCATCGCCTCCAGACAATTCCCGAAAATCAACATCCGAAAAGCTTAAGCAATATGCGTCTTGATTTGAGCGAGAAATATACCGCGGCTATGAAGGATATGACTTCTAAAACGAGAATTATGCTTAATATATACGTATGTACCTTTTCATTCTTCGATTCTTAAATCCTCATCTCATCTACTCATTCTCCCCTCATTCTAACTCTCACCCAACCTCTCCTCAAAGAAATACCCAAACTAATCATTTTCCCCTAGCTAATCATTTCCGGAGCCATGTCAACAATGTTCATATTAGCCGCCTATCACTTCCACAACACCTCTCATTATCATCTCGATGAAATAATGAGTTCCACGAAATTGGTCACTTTGGGCGTAGCAGTCATGGTCATGTATCTACGACTTCTACACAAGACGAAATTCTGGATTGAGGAATTGGAGAGAGAGAGGAGGGCTATCAAGAAGGGATGGAATCTCGTTGATTAGAAGGATCTCGGTGGTAGGTAATGGTGGATCTTCGTTTTATTTTGGTGGAGGAGGGAAGGCTTTTAACTGCAATTTGCAGGCTGGACCTGCTTCTGATGATAGGAGTTGAATACCGGGGGGACGAGGGGCAAAAGGTGTCGGGATGGCACAAATGGTATACGAAGGAGAATTATTTTCTAGGATCTGGAATGGGTTGAACTACAGTTTGATGTTTTCATTTGTTTTCACTAAATACATACGGTTGCGAAGGTAACCATGAACTTCTGTGTTTACTAGGTTAGATACTGGCAATAAAAGGCTTTTGAACTTCACTATAATTATACCTTATCTGTACAAGCATTCTTACTTTGATGAATCAAAACACTAGCTCGGGTTTCGATGTTAAACAAGGTCGATGGCTTACTATATTGTCTTTATAAGGATAAGTAGCTGACTCATTAATACTTGCAGAACTATTTCATATCAAGTACCGGTACACCCAGTTTAATAACGTGTTTCCAAAAAAAATCGTGATTTTAACTCCTCATCAATTTTTATCTCAATTTCAATTTCAAATTCGAATTTCAATCTATAATATCTTTATCAAAATCATTTCAATTTG